GTTAGTTTATCCGGCTCTTTAACTACAAGCTAGGAACAACCTTTTAGCTAGAAGATTGATTTAATACTTTTCGCCTTTGTTCTCTACCCGCTCACAAAAGCCCCGGTCAATACTAGACTTGGAAAGGATGATGTTATAGCCTCTTTTTGATGTTCTTCAAAAGAGGGCACACCTTCATACCTTCTTAGCTCCACTCGAGGGCATATCCTTCTATACTTAACTATGAACCACTATTTTCTCCATTCTTTGACATAGTTAGTCTTGCTTATGAACACCTCTTTCAATGGACTCGACTTTCTCGCCTAAATGATACAAAACCAATCATTCTTTTCTTCCCCCCAAAACTCTCGACCGAAGGTAACGACATCTAAAAAGTCTAAGTGCGACGATGACTTCAAACTTCTTATAAAAATTATCAAATGCAACTAAGGTGCCCCATCCATTAGGATGAATTTGGCTCACGCTCAAGTTGCAATGTTGAATAACCTCTATTGCAAACCTAGATAGAGAGAGACTATAGTTGTAAGCAAACATACAAACACGGATGTTTAATTCTACATTTCTCTTCCTAACTCTAGTTGATTTCTAATCCTATCATCCTTGTTGAGAATGACTGTAGAATACCTAAAAAAAATATTTGTGTTTAGTTTTTCATTTTAAGAATCACATTCCTAGTCCATTAAAAGGATTAAAGAGAAAACTCGTTATCTAAATGATTTTGAAATCATGTATAATTGAATGTAGATTTTGGGTTGGCATTGGCTACTTAAAGATTGGTTCTGTGTTCATCCTAGTCTAGCTTCCTTCTTAGTTAGGTTCTATCAATTTTGTTCATGTTTTTGCCTTCTACATATTTCTTTCCTTGTATTGTATATGAGTTGCTTCTTTAATTTGTCTTAACTTTGATCCGGTTTGTGATATCTTTGATATACCTACATAACATGTGTCATTGTATATTTTTTTATAAATCAAGCTATCGATCTGGATGTGTGCCTAAAAAGATGGAACTACACTCCGGATATAGGTAGGCAAACAAACCCCATTAAATTATTGAATGGTCCTAATCTAGATGACTAACGCGGATGGTTGAATTCTCTCTCACCGACTAAAAAAGACATATAGTACATCTATTAAACGAAGATACACCTTCGAGGTCAATTCGGTTTAGCAAAGACCAACTATGACATCATCATACACTTCAAAAAATACCTATCAACATCAAGAGTATTTATCCCTCGAAGGAGTGTTAGAGGCTATTGGCAACAAGAAAATGGCCTATTATGTCCTTTTTTTTCATGCAACTTGACGGGACTTTTGGTTATATCAATAGCAAAGAGACTCGAGGGAAGAGGTTCTAAATCTCTCTTCTTACTATCACTATTCATCTTTTTCCTTGCATTGAACCTTTTCGGACCACCATTCTCCTCCATATATCGACTCGGTTATCGGAGGTTATCCATCCCATCAAAAGGACTTGTTTTATAAGTATTCCGACTAATTTGATTTCCATTCACTATCAAACTCCATAACTATACTAGTCAAAAAAGAACCACTCGTATTTTAAAGTTTATCGCCCCCATCAATCTTCTCGATGCCCTAACCTCACCTTACTCTTCATCAATTCGGTATCTCATCTTGAAAATAAAAATTAAAAACATTGGTTGCCGAGAAAGTATTCCAATGAACGAAAATGCAATGGTTTTCGAATTTTCTTATCGGTTTTGAGGACGAGTAATATATAGAAACTCAAATGTCAACGTATACTTGTTTTTTATTGTAATCATTACGTTGTCTTAACTTCATTCATCCCGATTGAGATTGTCTCGGGATATTGTTTCCAAATAGGTATTTCCTAATAGGCTTTTTATATTGTTGGCCAATGTCCCGCAAGAATTACTCACGAGAGCTCAAATTATCATTTCCTAGCAAACCCATTTTTAGGGGTGAGAATAGAGATGAAGGCAATGGAAGAACTTAATCTAAACATTACCTTTTTTCTAAACTCAATCGGTGTTGTTATTAGTTAATAAATAGATGACGATCGAGCTTAACAACAAGAAGTTCGATCACATCCTCTTTCCCTTCTCTACAACCAAAAACCTCCCCTCTCCAAGTGGTTGTCCTTCAATCCGATAGAAGTTATCCCCCATCCATAGAAAAGAGTCGGCAATGAAATTACTTTCGGTTTCAATTAGATTTCTTTATTAACCGAGTTAGGCATGTAATGAGTATATTGAAGACAACCGAGTTTAAGCTTCATCTACATAAAAAGGTCACAACAAATATGGCTACGAGAATAAAGCTTAATATGCGAGGCGACAGAAACATAAGAACTTTTATAAATAGAAAGGTAATAGCTATGATGCATGATCCAACCCCGGTACCTATTAGGATCGAACAGAGAATAAAGGATGATTGCAAACCTTCCTCTTGACATCAATCATCCACATTCTCGAATATGTGAAGTCTCCAATGCGAATCAAATGTGTGAGCAAATCTCGGTGTGCTCTAATTTCGATCCACGAGATCATTAGAATGCACATTAATCTAGCAATAAAAGACAATTATGTTAAACACCGGAGGCAGAGACTTATTCTCACATCTCCTTCTCTTCACTCGGCTTACACTCGTAGACTATGAAGCGAACAATGATGCCATATCAATAGAGCTTGATTATTCATTGAAGAAGAGAGGCTTTGCTTTGACTATGGCGCTTCCATTGGATCTTATGATGGCTTGATGTGTGCTTCTCTTGATCCGGATCATCGTGTTGCTACGATACTACCAAGACAGGTGCACCTTCTCAAGATGCGTCTCGGATGGATGTGCATGCGGATTTGGTTATGATCAATTAAATCATCAAATTTGCTCCATAACAACCACTACCACCATTGGCATTAAAAAATTCAAGAGAAAATGTTTATGTTTTCAACAACCAATTTTTCCAAGTACGGGCTTCAAAAGGAATCGTAGTTTCAACTACTACAAATATGTTTGGGTTAATGGTCCGATATGTACTTATTTTAAAATAAACCAAATATATATTATTTGAATAAATTTTTAATCCATCTTTTCGATCAATTTTTTTCGTCAAACCATCTAAAAATGTCATATAACCCGTACATGATTTTTTTTTTAGTTGAAAATGCCCCTTGCTTAATATGTTAAGTTTTTAATATGTCCTTATATAACGGGTTAAGTCTTTAACCTATCCTTAATGTTAATGAATCTATCATATTATTATTAATAATTTTCTAATAATGCATTACACTATGGTGAATATTTTGTTAATTAAAAATATATAAAAATAATTAATACATGTTAGTATACAATTGTTTAAAGGATTGTCATGTAATATATTTTTAATGCTAAAAAGTCCAATATATTATTGTCTTTATAATAATTCTTTTGTGTATAATATTGAAAAAAAAAATGATATAATATTTACTAATATATTAAATCATTTCTATAAAAGAAAACATGTAAATCGCATGCGACAATAACTAATTGACATGAATATCGGTGATTGGATTAAAAAACTACATAATTATAATTTAAATTATTGTCTATTAGTCTCTCAAGCTTGTAAAAAGCATGTTTTCAGTAATTACAATCATTTAATTTACATAATTATTTGTTTTTTAATAAGCATGTTTTCTTTAATTACAATAATTTAATTTCCATAATTATATTTTTTAACATGACATGCTTAAAAGATTAATTAACAATCATTTAAATTTTAATTATGTAGTTTTTAATTACATAATCATTTGCTTTTTAATTACATGCTTAAGAGATTAATTAAAAATCATTTAAATTATGATTATATAGTTTTTAATTACATAATTAAGAGACTAATTAACAATCATTTAAATTATGATTATGTTGTTTTTTAATCCAATCAATGATATGTATATCATCTAGTCATTTTCGCAATCAATTTGCATGTTTTCTTTTGTATAGATGATTTAATATATTAGTAAATTTTATATCAATTTGTTCAATATTATACATAAGTGAACTATTAGATGACAACAATCTACTTGACTTTTCAGCATTATAAAAATGATAAATGAACCCTTAAACACTTACATGCTAACATATACTAATTATTTTTATATATTTTTAATTAACCCAAAAATCACCATAGTGCAATAAATAATTAAAAAATTAATAATAATAATAATAATAATAATAATATAATACTCTTTAATATTAAAGACATTAAAAACTCAATAGACTGACAATTTAACATGTTAAGCTTACATGAGCATTTTAAAAAAAAAAAAATCATATGTAGATCATGTAATATTTTTATATTTATATGGTTTATAACCAGAAAAATTGACCACATTGAAAACTGGTACCATTATATAAAAATAAGTGAAGCTATTATTAACCCAAGCCATTAACCCAATCTGTTTGAATGCAACCTGGAGGATGATGCGAATGTATGTTTTCATTGTGTTGATTTTAGCTTGAAAATGCTTAAAATTGCTTCCGCATCAGACTAAAACCAAAACAAGAAACAAAGCGCAGTTCCTTTGTTGAACTCTAATCAAGTGTGACGTTAATATAAGAAAGATTAAATCTGTTGTCCGATGGCTCCACATTACCAAGTTAACAGTAAGAATGAGATTGGTGAAAGCAAACTCATTATTTTTCTTGATAAGAAATTCAGCTTTTAAACAGTCTTAAAAGCGTGTTATTTTCAATAGATTAATCCAACTTTGTTTTTTTTTTTTTAAAAAAAAAAAACTACTATATTAATTTATCTTTCAGTTGACACTCATTCATCAATAAAATGGATAACTTACTACATTATCATGCCGGAATACTATCATTGTCCATCCAGGTAGCAAAAAAGTGTCATCTTACTACAAGACAAACGAGTCAGGACCCTAATTAGCACATTGCGCTCACATTCATTTACAAGAGTAAGATGGTGGTAGAACCCTAGAACATAAGAAAGCAATTAACCTTTTCATTTTGCCCAAACTTCATAGTCGTTGCTTCTTCCCAGAAGGTGTGTCATCATCATAATGGCCACCATCACCGTTCTCCTTCTCCATATTCTTTCTGGCAAGTATCTTATTTATCTGGTGCAACTCATTATTAAGCTTCTGGTCCTTGTTTTGCTTTCTTGTCTTCCGACCATCTTGCATCTTGACACCAAACTGGAATGCAGCCTTTGGCATTGCTTCCTTCTGCTCATTGTATTTTGCCCAGTCGTCTTCTGTATCAAAGTCCCATCGATGAAGTCGACCTTTTGCCTGTTGCAAGTAAATAAAAATATGATCAGCACCAATTATAAATTTCAGCAGATAAATTCAGTAGTTCGCATTATAAGCCCCCTCATTAAGGTTCTATTAACATAAATAACACTTTCAAATCAAATGCATCATACATGTTCCATTTTTTTTGCAGCAAAATAAAAAAGAAGTTACTCTTCTAAGACCAATCACTCACCCGACCGCCCATGTCCATTTTCGACAAGTCATCTTCATCATCACTGTCCATGACCTCACGAGTATAATGTTGATATGCAGGGTAACATTCTGAGTAACTATCAGAGATGAAGTTGGGATCCTTTTCTCTGGCATCTTTCTCCCTCAGTTGTTGAAGCCTCTGATCATCCCGCTTAAACACAGACCCTAAACCCCGATCCTTCTCTTCTTGAGTCATGAAGTGTGGATCCAGTGGAATGTTAGAAGCAGCTTGCATGTCATATGCCTGCATTGTTTGCTGGATGTACTGTTCAGGATATGCCAATTGCTCAGCATATTGATAATCCTGCCACTCTCCCTGGTAGCCAGCAGCCAGTGCTTGAGCATGGGTGACATCATATCCATTCTGAAACAAAGAAACCAGCAGAGAAGATTGCAAAACATTCATCCACATTGCTAGATAAATTGACTTTTACTAACAAGTGCCAACAGGTAGAGCATTGCAAAATGAATGGCAAGTATTTCTTCCTAAAACTTGATATCTAATGCAGAATGTCATCTTCTTTTAAATAGCATTTATAACTGCTGATTATGATCTACTTACCATGTCTTGCCATTCATGAGATGGCGCAGAGGGAGGCACTGGACCATAAGCTGGTTCACTGAAATAGGATGCTCTTTCCTTGTTTCGAGGAGATTCCTCCATATCCTCTGAAATAGGGCTTTGCATCATGTCTTTTCCAGGAACTTCATAGTCAATGCCATCCCCAACAAATATGTCACTCTCTTCTTCCCTAGCAACAGCAGGTTGCTGCTTCTCATGAGAATCAGGCAGATTTCTTTTGGGAGGTGGTGGCAAAATCTCCCTTTCAGTTTTGTTGTTCAACATGCCACCATTAGGTTTTGAAGGTTTATCATGTTCATCATATTCATTGCCAACAACTGAAACCTTTCCTGTAAGATAAAACCAAAACAAGGTGAGGGAAAGATCTTGTCACTCAAGTAATAAACAAGAAAAATTGACCAAACTAAAGGATGCATATGTTGAAGAACTACAATAACCAATGTGAAATCAATATGAATGGCTAAGTTAGGCCAATTTCCCATACCGAGGAAACCCTTAAATGCTGTCAGATTGGCAGCAATAGGGAATGCGCAACAAAATAATTACTCATAAGCACATTTCAAACTTCTGCATTTGTCTCTAATGACTTGAATAAAAAAACATGCATCCATTCCAGCCAGATTGCAAACTGATGTCAATTTTCTATTAATAGCAAGCACAATCCACACAGAAACTAACATACTGTATCAGACAATGATCCAAGTGATGTTTCATTATACATAGCCATTTCAAATGCACTGAACTGCTATAAAAGAAATCTCATAACTTGCAGTTGAAGAGGAAAAGGCCCATGCTATGATGCAATTAATCCAATTAAGGAACCAAAAAATGCATTCCACAGTGGTAACTTATTAATAACAAGTATTGTGCAAAGAATTACCTTTTGTGTCTTTATCCTTCTTTTTCTTCTTGAGAACCTTCCCAGAAGATCCAAGGCGAAGATATGACATAATTTTAGCAATTCGATCAAGCACAGACTCATCAACGCTGACAGTAACCATTTCCTAGTAGCATATACAAACCAAACTCAGGTATGCTTTCTGATATTTGTAAAAGTAAAACAGATAACACCAATGGATAAAGAGAATACAAACCTCTGGCACTGGACAGTCAGCTTTGCTTCTTTGCAATGTGGTTGGAATATCATGAGAGTATCCACCTTCCTAGACCACCCAATAAAGAGAAAAATAAAAAACTGACTTGTAAGGATGCATTCAAAACTGGATAAACAAGCAAGACAGGTGAAGCACTCCTCTGCTCTCCGTCCTAAAATATAACTGTATCATATTAAAACAGCCTAGTACTTCTAGGTTTTACTACATATATTTTAACTCCAGTTTTTGGTCCCTTGTCATTTTGTACAACCGAAGTATATTACTTAACAATCTTGCACTTTCACATTCATCTAAAATTGGAGGAAGCACCGTGCAAAAAAGCCACTATTGGATGCCCCAAGCTAAAACCTTTCTCTAGCCTCCAAGTGAGTTCAAAACCCTATAGACTGTAAACAAATAAATTACTTTGTTCACTGTTACAAGTCAATTCAGCTCTGGCATTTTACAATCTACATATTTAGAGCTGTCGAAACAGGAGAACAATTTTAAAAAAAAAAAACTCACAGGAACTTCTGCAGAAGCTTTCCATCAAAGCTGAGTTGCCCTATTGTAATAAGTACAATGACAGGGACAAAATATGGTTCTTTAGACTAGATAAAATCAATGACAGAACCTAATAAAACAACATTAGGAGGAGTGAAATTTGAAGCTTCCCATAATAGAATCTTGGTTAACAAAGTTAGACATAAAGTAGAACAGCCACGGTACTGAGGTAAGTTAAAAATTAGCATACCAAAAGCAGCAAAATCCTTACCATGTTAAAAATAAAAGCCATTCGACCAGGAAGAAACATCTCATTTGTCTTGATAATGGTTTGCGGTTTGACTATCCATTGATAGACTGACTGAAACAGGAAAATAAACAACTTAGAAAAAGCAGAAAATTAACTTCTGATAAAAAATAAACAAATAAATAAAAATAACTCAAAACTCTAATTATGTAGCTCTGCATGTTCTCAATAATTCAACAAACCTTTGCAGTTGCAGTCCGAAAAGAAATTTTTTGCTCTTCCTTGGATGCTCTGTCAAACAATACAAGTGCATGTTAATGCAAAACAAGACTACTACATGCTGAATAGCCAAAAATAATAATGGAAATAAAAAGTGAAATACTAATAAAAACCAAATTGTTAGCATTATATTTCTCCAAAATACACATACACAAACATAGCATAAAACTTGAAAGATGTACAGAAATGAGAAAAGGACAATATTCAGATTTTGTAAGTATAGTTTGATAATAATCAAAGCAGGGGAAGATAATTCACTTGGGAGCATAATCAAATTTGACAATGCAACTCCTCGCAAAGTTGGGGTCTCAGGATCCAACCAGCACCCACCAACCCCCACAACCCCCCCCCCCCCCCCCCCTAAACAACAAAAAAAGAAGAAAAAAAACACAGTGGAAATCATAAGTTTGAATGCATCATGCTAAACAGACAAGGATGGGGTCAAACAAAGCTACATTAAGTTATTCCCACATCATATTGTATGGCGAGCACAAAGAATCTTAATTCCTCACAGTCTTGTCTCTTCAAAGATATCCTGACTCCATCTACGTTTCTTTAAAACTTCTATTTACATGCAATATCATCTTTCAAAATACTTATCAACCCTTCTTATTCTCTCACTAGAATTTTCACTTCATGGCATTCATAATCAAATACTACTAGACTACAAAAAAAAAAAAATTAAAAAAAAGCCAATTCCCTATGTCATATTAGTTGAAACACACCAAAATAAACACCATCGCATATATAACAACACTGAAGAAAAAAAGAAAAAAAGCCCTAACATACCTAGACTTCCCATCAGCATCTTCGGCCGAATCTGGCTTCTTATCAATCTCACTTCTCACCTTATTAAGCAAAGCATAATCGAGTCCTTTCACCAAATGCGTATGCTCCACATCACCTAAAATACCACCATTTATTCAGCCTACAATTAAGGGGAAAAAAACAATAAATAAATAAATATTAAACCACCTTTACCAAAGAACACCAACCTCCGAGGTACTTGCTCTTCTCGATAGAAATCTTATGCGCATCAGCTGCTGACCTGACATCAACAGTTCCCGGTGGAGCAACCGCGTGAAAAGACCCCAATTCGTTCGGTTCATAATCGGGATTTTGATCTTCTCTTCGCTCCTTTGCTCGGTCCCTATATTTCGGTGTTTCTGGTTCCTCTGGCTTCTCCTCTCTGCAACAATATTCATTTGTTAAATCCAAATTCCATAAATATAAGTTTTCAAAAAGAATTAAAACAAAATTGTTATGTATACTTACTTGCGACGTGCAATTTTTTCCTTGCAGTGTTTTTTCGATGAGGTCATTGCTGATAATTTTGGTGCTGCTGATAATTAGGGTTCTAGAAATTTTAGAATTTGGGGATTTTTCTGGGTTGCCGAAGGGAGAACGCGAAGAAGATGGATAACGGACTAGAAAATTTTACGACTCAAAATATTATATGCACCGTTCTGGCTAACGCCACGTAAGTGCCGTTAGTCTGTGACCGTCTCTCGCTATGTGCTAACCGGCAGTGTCAGGTTTGTTTTATTTCTTGGATCGCATTTTGCATAATGTTGTTGAACCTCGAGGTTTATTCGAAAAGAAAAAGGAAAAGCCTGGTATGGTCTTTTCATATTCCCATTCTCAAAGGGGGAAAAAAAAGGGTTCGTTGCATAAAACGTAAAGTTCAACATAATAAATTTATACAGGAAGTTTTTGTAAACCGATAAAATGACTAATCCATAAACGATCAAAATACAAAGAATTAATATTATAATTTATAAAAAAAATAATCAATTAATCAAATAGAATAGATGCAAGTAATTAGATATTTGAAAGTAAATAGTACTATTAATAAACCAGTCAAGTGATAGATAAATAGTCAAAATCCAAGTGAATGGATCAAATCAAGCGATAGATAGATAGAGATACTATATGACATGTGAGTAGATGATTAAAGTTCAAACAGATTGAACATTAGATATTGTATGGTATATGATTTAAGGAGTTTTGAGAGAGAGTTAAAATTTTTTTGCTAAAGATCATAGAGTTAGAATCCTCTCACAATGACATAAGGATGGTATTTATACATGATGTTGGTATTTACATTGAATTGAAGATATTCCTTGATCATTAGGAATGTGTTATGTCACTTATATTTAGACGGTCAAATTTAAATTAAAAAAAATGGGTTCTTTTTCAACTTGTTGGCAAAGATTAAAGAAATTAATAATTTGGTTTTTTTTTAACAAACCTTACTTTGAACCCCACCAAACTAATCCTCCTAATGAATTCTTATTATAAAGAATGGACACTAGTCTTACTAGAGCACCCATGTCCATTTATGTTTAAACGATCATATTTAAATTGAAAAAAAAAAAGGTTCTTTTTTAACTTGTTAGTAAAGATTAAAGAAATTAATGATTGGGTTTTCTTTAACATACCGTACTTTGAACCCACCAAGCTAATCCCCCATGTCCATCCTTACGTAGCCTAGACTCTTGTGCTAGATGAGACTTATTTTAACCAATTTATTGATTGTGTAGTTTTCACTCATGTCAAACTAGAAAAATAATATGGATTAGTACATAATAAAATTGACTAAATTTTTAATTTATTTTTATAGATAAATTGAGCACATGTATTTAGCAACCTTGCTAAATACTTATGCTCAATTTATTGATCGTGTAGATTTGACTCATGTCAAAACTAAAAAAATAATATGGATTAGTACATAATAAAATTGATTAAATTTTTAATTAATTTTTATAGATAAATTGAGCATATGTATTTAGCAACCTTGCTAGTAAGGGTGTTCGTACAATCATGTGTGGCGAGATGAAGAAAATTAAAGTTAGAAAAACATAACCTAACTATCATCACCTAATTTTTTTCTCCAGGAAAAAAAATCACAAAAAAAGGTAGGTTTGGACCAGTTAAAGTAGGCACTAGGTCGCGCACTAGGTTTAAGCTTGGTGGTACAAGCCCAACTCAATCCAAGAAAAAAAAACCAAAAGAGAAAATCCCAAAACCGACCTAGGTAGCACTATATATATACTATACCCTAATCCACAAACACATACACTAACACATAATCCAAAAACCCTAGTAAAAAGAAAAAAAAACAAAAATAGGCAAAACGAAGAAGAGAAAACAATGATGCTATTGACATTCCATCCCTTTTGCTTCTATACACACCACACTATTTTCATTGTCTAGAGCAAACGAATCCAATGCCACCAAAACGAAGCCTTTCCAATTACTATGGAAGCCACGCAAATGTGAATAGTATTTTTCCTACACCGTCGCATATGTCCCAAACGCCTTTTATGTGGCATCTCGTCTTTGCTTCTCTTCGAACTTCTTATTTAGATATTTAAACCCTAGATTTTCATTTCTTGATTTGATATTCATCCAAATTTTATAAATTGGATTATTATTTTATTAATATATACATCGATAATATTAATTATGTGACTAATATAAAATTTGGATGATTTATTGAATTAAAGTAACTTGATTTTATTTAACATATTTAAATAGGCTTCAAATTGATTCTTTGTTATTTGTATGTTTAAAATCTAATTAGAAAGTATGTGATATTTTTAGGGCTTATTTTTATTTTTTTTATTTTGTAAAACTAGGATTAAGGTTGATACACACTATATGGTATATAACTTTATTTTTCATATAAAAAGTCCCGAGAAACTTTTAGTCAATGATTAAGTTAGCAATAAGCTTGTGTGTGTGTGTGTGTGTGAAAATTAAATAAGCCAATACAAATCAATAAATCAATAACATTGTAGAGGCCATTGACTATTTTATTTTTGCATAGTTTTTTTTACTCGATCTCGTGGTTCTTATATACCTTTTTTTATTTCTTGATTTTTATACTTTTCTTCTCTCTTTATTATTATTATTATTTGGATTTTTCAAGTTTTGGTGAATTTTTGTTATTTTGGCAATTTCAAAAAAATATTAAGCATGAAAGAAAATACAAAATAAGAAAATGAAAATGGAAAAGAAAAGAAAAGAAACAAGAAAGATAGGGAAAAAAAAAGATAAATTGAAAAAATAGCATTTGGGTGCGAATTGAAAAATCAAGAGAAGTAAAGACTAAAAAATATCCAATTGAGGGGGCAAAATTGGATGGGATAAGAAGCCAATGGTCTTAATTGAGGATGAATTTGGTTAAATTGAAATAAATAAAATAAAAGGGATCAAATAAATTTAATTAGGGATACCGATTGAAAGGAAATGAAAAGGGATGAGATTAAAATGCAAAAGGTGCAATAAATGAGAGATCAAAATGAAATTAAGCCGACCAACCCTAATTTTACTCGTGTTTCTTTCAAGAGAATGACCAAGCCCTAAGAAAAAAAAAAGCCCTCTCTTCAACACAAATGGTTGTTCATCTCCCTTTCACTACCAAACCACCAAGCAATGTTCATATCTACCTCATCGCCCTTAGACTAGCCGCCAACTAGCCAAAACCTCTCCACCATCGAGCCTCCATCCTCACCCACTATTGTTCACAACCACCCATCACTACAAACCTAGTCATGTTTTTGGTAACGTGCAACCTTACCCTCATTATGAAAAAACCCTATAAGTCTTCCAACGCAGTTTTAATAAGTACACATAAAACCCTTTCACTATCTTTCTCTCTATCCTCACTAAAACCAACCACTATAGACCTCCTACTATTGTTCTTCTCTTTTCTAAAGCGTTATTGCCAAACTCAAATCCTCATTTATCTTCTTTACTATCGTCCGCTCTCTTAAGCCTAGCCACTCATCGTGTCGCTCTCTCTCTCTTTTCTTGCTGAAACCAACCACCATATATCCTTCACTACTATTCTCTTCTCTTCTAAATGTACCATTGTCTTTTTCTCATCTATTACCTCCTCGACTCTCCTAAGCCTAGCCACTCATTGTGGTGTTCTCTATTTCCTCACCAAAACCAACCATCGCAGATGCCCCTACTACTATTCTCCTCTTTGTCTTAAGGTTTGTATCTTTTTTAGGGATATAGCTCATTACAAAGTAACATTTTTTATTGTTTCTAATTACATTCGATCTTGTTTTTTAAATTATGAATTTTATATTCAAATAAATTATTATAAATCTCTAATTTGAGATCTTGCAATTAAAGTATTGACAAGTATGTAAATTTAAGATGTAACATAAAATAATTAACAAATACATAATTATCTATTATTGATAATGGGGTCCTTACTAGCCATTAACTTTGCACCTACAACCATTGGGTTTTTAAGAGGAAGATAAATTAGCAAGACATTTTACATTCATAGAAGCATAACCTTTTAACTATAATATGTGAAGATTTTTTTATTTTGATGTGGTAAAACTAGGCATAATTATCATTTTGTTGTGCATTTCTTGATTGTGTGTTGATATTTCTTAGATACAAATTTTGAATGATTGTTTTCAAATTAGTGGAAAGGTCAATGTCGTTTGATGTTGTTTTTAGGCTTGTGATCAAAAATTTTTGGATACCGGTTTGGATACTATTAAAATTAATGTAAGATTGGTTAGCTTTTCCAACGACGAACCAAGTGATATTCATTTCTCTGTATCTCTTTCCAATAGTCCTAAATAATTTTTCCATATTTTTTTCGTATACAAATAAACATATGTTATGACTTGTAGCCACTACCAAGTAGGTTAATAAAGATGACTTATAACCACTATCAAATAGGTTAATGAAGATAACGTAAATCAAGTTATGGCAAGTATAGAGCTTCATTCATTGGAGCTTCTTTTTACATGTTCTACTAGGCTTTTTGGCTACTATAACCACATTACTCTTACTTTATGTTTTTTTTTTATAGTTTTGTATTGAGTTAAAAATGGCAGGAGGTTTTAGGGTCTTTAAGCATTTAAACAATTTTACTAACCTCAACTATGGCAATGATGTTTTCAAGCAAACTTGGATACACAACCATTTTCATTGTTTGACTTAAGAGTATAATGAAAATAAAAAGGTGATTTTGAACGATTATTTCCAAATTAGTGAAAAGATCAATCTCGCTTGATATTTTTTTTAGGTTTTATGATCAAAATTGTTTGGATAACATTAAGATTAATGTAAGATTAGTAAGCTTTTTCACCGTCAACCAAGTGGTATTCATCTCTTTGTCTTTTTTTTTTTTTCTAATAGTCTTAGATAATTTTCTAATCTTTGCCATATGCAAGATAAACACATGCTCGACTTGTAGCCACTACCAAGAAGGTTATTAAAGATAGTGTAAATCAAGTATGACAAGTATAAGGCATTTGTATCGTCGCCCAACTCCCTTACC